GTGTATGTGAGATCAGTTGTATTAAAACGGGAGTAAAGATAATAAGACAAAAACAAAGAAAGAGTTAAACATTATTAAAATTCTTATCATAAGATGTCAATATTATCATATTTTCTTCATATTCAGTTATTCATTGAAAGAAAACTTTATTTTTATTCTTTAATAAAATGAAGAAATTTCTCTTATTGAATTGTGTCACAACTGTGAATGAATAGTTCCATCCATTTTCCTAAAAGTTTACATTTGTCACCTGCTGAATGAATGAAACTTATAAATTTTGTTGCTATTGGTTCATCTTCTGTTTGTCTTGTAAATTAGTCAAGAGACTCTTATTGTGTCGGCACCAGTATTTGATTAGAAAATGAACGGCTATGTTCAAGCGGAAAAAAATGAGTAGACTGGAACGTTTTTGATCAAATTATAGAATCACATACACTTGTGAAGGAAATTTGAGTCTATCTCATATGTATACAAAAGAACAAAAAAAATAACAGAAACGAAAGACGATTTCAAATATATAAAAAAGAGATTATATGTTCATTTGATCTTATTGTTTCTTTTAGAAATGTTACGAAATGTTCAAATTTATCATGACGATGATAATACTTTTGATGCAATTACAATTGATCTACAAAGAGATCAAATTATCATTGGTGCAAAGTAATGAAATATCTTCTTTTCTTTTCTATTCTTCTTATTAATTGCTTGTAAATTCAGACATGTTTACTTCTTGACATATTATTCTCTCACTTTCTTACCTATCATATATACTACATACAACTACTACCACCACCCGAAGAGCACTTTAAGTAAATTGACGAGTGAAAAAAAGAGAATTTGATGGATGTCAAGCACACCTCAGAGAAACAAAGCCTTAGTAAGGTGATGACCGAGGAGCTAATTATATCCAAAACATACAATACGTATGTTGACACAGCAACATACAGAGACAGAGAGAGAGAGAGAGAAAGAGAAGGGCATCATGTTGCGTTTTTCTATTCGAAGCCTTCCTAAAACAAACTGATCTAATCAATGTCTCATGATAAAATCAAATTTTTTAATTTAGAAATTCTATAATTCGTTTATCTATTCATGATTTTCATCTATTGGAAAAATTTAAATGGGAATCAACAACAAATGATTTAAATACTTGTCGAAATCAAATTCAATCACTTGTAAATATATTTTTATTTTTATTTCAATTAACATATGTCTAAATTTTTTATTAAAATATAGAATGAATGTGAAAATTATATTCGTGTCTTAGCACTCCGATCTCGTGATCAATTATTATTGACATGTGGAACTAATTCCTATCGTCCAATATGTACATGGCGCAGTCCAAATTCTCTATCAACAATAATTCCAAATGAGAATTTTATTTCTGGTGATGGAAAATCTCCTTATAATAGTCAATTTCCATCTACATATGATCTAATTGATACTGGTTTGTTTATTTTAAAAAAAGAAAATATTCGAAAAGAAAATAAATAAATGAATGAATTTTTTAGGTGAATTATATTCTGCAACAAGTAATGAACCAGCATTTGGTGCCAATGATCCATTAATACAAAGAAGTTTTACGACAGACGGAAAACAATTACGAACACAACAACATGATTCAAATTGGTTGAAGAGTAAGTTGTTCTATTGATATGATCTCATTCGATAATTAGATTAAGACGTTCAGTTTTATCTGAAGTATATAACCTTGTCTACGAACATTTAAAATCTATAGATAAATTACATATCTTACAGATAATATATCAAACAAGAGAGAGAGAGTCCGATTAATATGAAACGATATTTATTTGTTAGAAAGGAAAAAAAACGCCGACAGTATTATTAATGCAGCTTCAATTCATCCTTTCACTAAGACTGCGTGAATAATCTATAGTAAGATCCATATCTTTCACCTTTAAGTGAATATTTTGTGATAAAGTTACGTTTTATTACTTTTGGCATTTTTTTCTTCATAATAAATTTATACATACTTTGATGTAGACTAAATTTTGACTTTATTAGGTAATTATAATGCTTCGGGAGTTATATGTCTTTGTAAAATCGTAACTTATGAAAGAATTTCTATATAAATTTATATCATTAGATTTCGATGAGGGGAACAAAAATGAATTAATTATGCGAAAACTTTAAACATGTTTGTCCATTCTTTCATAGCTGAGTAAGATCTATTTATGTGTAACAGATAAAATGTAAACAGTTAGAACATCTGGAGAAGTTCTCTCTTCAGACTTCTTTTCATCGACATCATTCGTTCGTATGAACAAGTACTATATATATATATATAACAGCTGTTCATCTCTCTTGTTCGACCATACAAGACATTACTTATCAATATTTCATTTTTTGTCTTTTTAGATCCATATTTCGTTCGAATATTAAATATTGGTTCCTATGTTTATACATTTTTTCGTGAAGTAGCTCTTGAACATCTATCATGTGGACCAGTAAGATCAAAAAAAAGAGCTAATAATTAGAAATAAAAAAAATCTATTCATTGTAGATTGTATATTCTCGTGTTGCTCGTGTATGTAAATATGATGATGGTACAATGAAATATAGTGATACATTTCGATCATTTTCAAAATTACGCTTATCATGTTCAAAGAATATCACTAATGATATAACTTCGTTTGATTACAATGAAGTACAGTCAATTTTCTTTGATCCTTCATCAAATTTAATATATGGTGCTTTTAATTTACCAAAGTAAAAATAAATTTTACAAAAAAAAAATTATCGTTTCTGTTTTTTTTTTGAAGAAGTGGCTTATCTGGATCAGCTATATGCATCTATAAAGTTAAAGAATTAGAAGTTGCATTTACATCTTCATACTTATCACAAAAATCTAATGAATCATATTGGTTACCATCTTCATCAAAACAAGAATCTGAAAAGGTAATTTTTCTTATATAATAGTTGAAAAAAACTTATATATTCTATTTAGTGTGAACCAAATCAATCAAGTAATATTCCAAGTCCATCGGGACCTGTTCTTCGATCAGATGTACTTCAATCATCGTTTGATGTACTTACATTAGAAAATATTCGTGTTGGACATTTATTAGTTGATCATTTTAATGGTATAACAATTGTGTTTGTTATTACTTTCGATGGTTTAGAATTACGAAAATATACATTAATAAATAATCAATTATGTTTAATTGAACAAATTCAGTTAAAACCACCAGATATTCTAGACAATCAATGGAAAATTAATAAAGCAGAATTTATTTCTGAAAAAGTTAATATTTTCTTTATCTTTCTCAAATAAATTTTATATGATAAAATTCTTTTCTAGAAATTAATAGTAATGACAACAACGAAATCAGTTATAAAGATTCCTGTTGCACGTTGTGTTCGTTTGAATACAAGTAATTTATGCATCGCTGCTATGGATCCATATTGTATATGGGATAATAATCAACAACAATGTATAATATATACAAATTCGTCCTCGACATATTCTTTCTCACATCGATCATTGTCATGTCCTATTCTTAATACAACAAGTATGTATTTAATAATTTCTTTCTTTATCCTTTCTACTATTTATTTATTCAGTTGATGGTGGTTGGACATCGTGGTCATCATCATTTATATGCGAACAAGTAACAGGTGAGAAATGTCAATGTCGTACAAGAACATGTACACAACCAATACCACAATTTGGTGGAAGATTATGTCATGGATCAAATGTTGAAATAGAGAAATGTGAAGGTAAAATAAATAAATAATAATTGAGAATAATATTGAATTATTTATTTTTGTCTTCGTTAGTTCATGGGGGTTGGTCTCCATGGAGTGAATGGAGTATGTGTCCAAAAACATGTGGAAAATCATTTCGATCACGTACACGAACATGTACAAATCCTGAACCAAAAAATAATGGTCGAATATGTGTTGGATCAGAACGAGAAGAAGAATCATGTCCGGAAATTATTTGTACAAATGAATCATTACGTTTAAGTGCTTGGAGTGGTAAATGATTCTTTATTTTCTTTTAATTTTTAATTATAAATAATGTTTTATATAGATTGGGATACATGTTCAAAACCATGTGGTGGAGGAATACAAAAAAGACGAAGAACTTGTTTGATTAATGCAAATAATTGTTCAGAATGTTTAGAAGAAACACGATTATGTCAAGAATCACCTTGTCCAAGTAAGTTTATAGATCTTTGAAGTTTCACAAACTATATATTAAAATTGGGTATTTTAGTTCAACAAGCAACATTGTGGAGTGATTGGACTTCTACAACAAATCCTATGAATGATGGTTCAATAGCTGAAAAACGTACTCTTTTTATATGTACAATTAATTCATTATCTAATAAACAATTACCAGAAATAAAATCAGATACAGTTAAATATCGAGTATGTGATACTCATGCAATTAATGATTGTCAAGAAACAGGTAATTTATTTCATAAATATTTCAATTAAATTTTCTAATAAAATTTCACTTTAGATTCATTAGATAATATACATTTTGATAATTGGTCTTCATGGTCTGTTTGGAGTGGTAAGTATTTACAAGAATCAATAAAAAAAAACAATAAATTATTTCTCTCTTCTTTCTTAAAAGAATGTTATCCATCTTGTGGTGTATCAGGTTCAATTGAAACTCGTCGTCGTACATGTTTAGGAAAACGTTGTTTAGGAAGTGATATTGAAAAACGTGAATGTTTATCATGTCAACCATCTTTAA